TCAATCCGATCTGAATGAATGATTAAGAGCGCCCGGGATTTTGATCGTCTGTGAATTCAGTATTCTCTAGTAGTACTTTTCACTTAATGTTGAGTTATTACCCGGATGCCACTTAGTTTATCAGCCAGTGGTTAAATCCGGGGGCCTCTATCGTCGGCGGGAGAACGCCGGCACATTATCACACGGCAGCAGGCTGCCAACCGCGAGCGCCTTGTCCTCGTCATTAACAAGTACAATGTATGCAGAACACCAGAGGGGAATTAAAGCCACAAAAAAATACCTCAGGGTGGTATTTTTAATATGAGAATTTAATTTGTAATTTCACAGATTAAGAATTTTGGCAGCAATAATCCTTTTATCAACTCACAGCAGGTAATTTGCAGAAGCATAACCGTAAGGAGATAGGCTCCAGCAGAAACACATCTTTGCATAACGTTAAACGACGCAAGCGCTGAAACCTTTTGAAGGGAGGGAGAAAAAAAAAAAAGATGAAGAATCATTTTATTTTAAAGAAGGTTTTTTTTTTTTTTTTCTTTTTTTTTTAAATGCCTCCAGTGAAATTTGAAGTTGGAGGAATATGGCTTCTGTGCTGGGAAGATAATCATTATGAAACACATCCAGATGCAAAGAAAAAAAGGAAAGGCAGTCTGCCTACATAAGCAGAGAGCTTGGTTTTAAAATTTTAATATATTTGTTGTAAACACATCAAGGAAGCCTGTGGTATGCAGCAAAGATGCCTTTTAAGGTCCTTTTTATTCAGGAATGGAGTGACCACCCACCATTGCCTTCCAACCGTAGTGATGGGAAATCCATATGGTACCCACACTTGTCTTGAAGCTGGCGGATGTGGGGAGACTAGGCTCAGAATAAAATTCCTCGTCATCCAGAACTGCAGGCAAATGGCTTAATAGAGATCTGTTACCTGCCAAAAGATTTGCCATTCTATTGGCCACTCTTGTGATTCAGGCAGCACTGCCAAACAGCACAGCCAGGTCTCTGACCACCAGTGAATTAAAAAAAGTACACATTAGTCAAGGACCCCTCCCCCAAGCCTGGAGATTGAGCAATAAAGGATTAACTGGATGTTGGTGAGGTCATCTCTCTGCTCTTCCAACATGTAAGAAAAGCGGCAGAGCCCTGAATGTGTTGGAGTGCTTACCATGAATTTAAAGGAGAACTATTGGGAGAGTAAAATGTACTCTTCCCAATACATAGAGCTGGTGTGTGGCACTGTAGCTGTCACACGCTGGCTTTATAGTTCAAGAACTGAGTGATCACGACCCGCTGATCGCTCAGCTCATGGCATTTGACTATCAGTCACTGCCCCCCACGGGGATTCCCCCTCCTCTCTCTGTGTTCTTCCAGCACTCATTGGAGGGGCAGACAAGGGAGGGGGCGGGCACAGCTGGCTCCGGCTCTAGAAAGGCAGAACCAGCTGTCAGTCGGGCAGTAGGGTTGATCCTGACAATATTGTTGGGATCTTTCCCGGCTGAAGCATGGCTCTGTGCTATCAGCAAATAGCGGGCAGTAGCCTGCTATATGCTGACTTTGGGACACAGGAGTACATTAGTAAATCTCCTCCTGTGACCCAAAAGAGAACCATAGACCCCCAAAACAAGTTTGGCCATAGTTCTCTTTTAAGCCAGGTTCACGGAGTCACCCATCATCGACGATCTCCCTGTGGGTGCCATTATTTTCTAACGGCACCCCAGTCATGCCGAGCAGATCGCGCATCGTCTATCACAAAAGAAAAGGTACATGTACCTTTTTCCTGCGATTTGCCGCGCGGATGTACCCCATTGAAATCAATGGGGCCGCTCGGCAATCGCTGTCTGGATGTGTGTCCCGGATCGCTCAGGCCTGCACCGGCCCTTAACCCCTTCGTGACTGACGACGTACAGTGTACGTCGCCAGCATCGGGGCTGTTTAAACAGACTCCCGGTGACTTTTGCCGCCGGGACTCTGTTTAAACTTGTAGAGCCGACTGTCGGCTTTACAACAGAAGCGATCCTGGCGACTTACCTGTCGCCAGATCGCTTCTGCGTCCCGAAGAAGGGGCCGCCCGCCCCCGCGAGCACGCGCGTCGCCACGTAAACACGCGTCGGGTGCGCCTACGTATGAAAACGACGAACGCGCTACACATGTTGGGTATCGCCGCGCACGCCGGAGTGAGAGCAATAATTCTAGGGCCAGTATTTTGGGGTATCTCTAAATTGATGACCTGTGGGGGCTTTTAAAGCATCTTCTATGGACTTTTTGGGGTACTGGGGTTTTTCGCCATTTTACAGATGCACGCAATTTGTAACCTGGGCATGTTGGGTATCGTTTTACTCGTTGTAACCTCATCTTTTATATTTCATTAAAAAAATGGGTATTTTGTTGTGTTTTGGGGCATTTAATTAAATTTTTCACTAAATATTGGGGTTTAATAAGGAGTTGCGCTAATATTGCGCAACATAAAAATTTGCAACTACCACCATTTTATTCTATAGGGTCTTGGCATTCAGAAAATATATAATGTTGGGGGGTTTTAAGTAATTTTCAGGCCTAAAATGTGGAATATAACATGGGTACAAAAAAATGAAAAAAAGGCCTCAGTCATGAAGGGGTTAAGGAGTTCAAACTGGAGTGCTAACCTTCCCTTTCCTAATCTAGTCCTACTGTGCAAAAGAAAACTAAAATAAAATTATATTCAGGAACGTGTACAAGTTGTATTAAATGTATTTAATGTTTATTTGAATAAATTCATAACCTGACAACATCTGCTTGGAGTTAAGGTTTGATTAATAAAAATCAACTCTGGGTTCACTATATACACTATGCAAGGAGTGCAACAATTTTTACTGCTGTTTAGTACTAGATTTTGTTCTTTGATAGTGGGATAGATTATATCAGTCCACTTGCTGAAACTGACTACTAATTGAGATTTAAGGACAGAACAGCTATACCTAAGATGGCAATTTATCAGTCCAGACATCAATCATGGATACTCATTCAGCTAATAATATGGTTGAGCATGTAGAGTTCTGAAGGTGTAGTAAAGCCCATGTTCTCCGGAGAATTACCTTAAAGTGACACTAAACTCGAGTTCATTTTTAAAAATGAATTTAAGTGCCTCAATTATTAACAATAATGTATCTTATTTGTGTATCACTCGGCTGTAGACCCTCCAATCATCTCTGAATTGGTGCTGATACTGTCCTTCCTTCTGGAGGGGGGCTACTTTTGTTCCCCATGGTTCCTGTGTGTGTTGTGCAGTAGTCACTGCTCCAAGCGGAGCGTTCCATTATCTAGTAGTTAATGGTTAATAGTTAATGGGATCAAACTGGCAATTGTTGTAGACCTTAGCATGGACGTGCGGTCAGGGGATGCAGGTGAGGCAGAGCCTCACCTAGTATTATGGAGGAGAAAGCGGTCAGCTTCAAGTCTCCATTTCTCCATTCAGAGCCGCTTGTAACAGGTTACACAGCAGGGAAAGCCTACCCGCTGTGTAACCTGTAATGGACGCTGCATCCGGCTTTTGACAGCTAGTGGGCTTCACTGCTTGTGTAACCTAACATAGTGAGGCCAGAGCTGCAACAGCCTCTACTGCCAAGCGCCATTGCTCCAAGCTGTCTAATCAAAACAAAGAAAATAAAAAACACTGAGAACATCGATCTCGATGCCTCAGCAGTGACGAGCAAGTGAGGGACAGGGAGGCTCCTCCCTATCTCGTCCCTTCCTCCTCCCTATCTCGTCCCTTCCTCCTCCTTCACACTAGCTTGGTAACCAGGTTGGGGTGGGGGGGCTTCATCGTAATGGGGCATGGCTTCAGCGAAATAGGGGCAGGGCTGGGAATGCTGGGGGCGGGGCTGGGGAATGCCTCACCCAGAACCGAAGGTACTGCACGTCACTGGTCCTTAGTGACTAAAAAACAAACAAAATTCTAACAGTGATTTGTGTTTTTGTTGAACTTCATTAATTCCAAAATCAAATGTTAAAATCAAACAAAATTGTGCTGGACATTCGTCAAGTCTCAGATGGCATTACAGACTGTTCTGCTGAGATCTTTTGTATGAACATCTGTACATGTAAAAATAGACTCATTCTGGAGCCTACACTCCTTTGCCTTGTGCTTTACATCATGCACCCTCAGGGCTTATTCACACCATGTCCGGATCATGTTCAGACCAGAACAGTGTGTTCCTGGGCCAATATTATTTTTATCTGCCTATATTTACCTTTCCTGGTCCCCCCCCCCTTCCCACCCTCATCAACCTGTCAATTACATTTTTAAATAAAACCTTTCTGTTATGATTACATACCTTATTTTATACCTAGTGACATCATTGCCGAGTATCTGTGCTTCTCTATGCAATGCAGGCAGATCATAGTGGTGGGAGGGTACGGCAGAATGCTTCTCCTTTTATGAGCCCTTATCCCTGATGCAAGCAGTGGGCTGGTCCTTGGGAGGAGTTATGCAAATATCAAAATGCTATGTGATAGGTAGATGTCAGGCTGGAGGAGTGGTTGTTTCTAGACGAGCTGTGTTTGCATGCAGGCCATCCTAGATAATGCCCACATGTGATGCTGAGCCTCTATAATTGAATGGGACCACAAGATTGGGAGGAAAGAGCTCGATAATGCTTGACGTCCTCCAGCTAGGAAATGAGGCGTAATCTATCTGACTTGTTGCAGCTTCTAATGCACATTGTGAGAAGCTGACATTGATCTCCTGTATCTCTTCTCTCCGCACAGTGTCTTCCATTTTTACTGTACCGAATGTGAAGTTGCAGCCAGAAGCTGGAGAGAGCCTGCGAGTGTTTGGGAAAAACAATAGTTTCAGCAAAAGTCTCTCCAACAAGCACTGCTGATGCATTGCCATATGTGTAGAAGCCGGGTGAGTACTTTTGGGGTGTTCTTATCCGGAGATTATGGGAATAATTACTCCCTTTTACTGGAAGGAAAATATATTCAAAAATGTTTTTACAGATTGTTACATTGCTGTTGCCGGGCAATGTACCGTATGTGTAACTGAGAAGAGTGATCAATGCAGGTAAAACACATCCATGTTTAAAAGTCAAGGACATATCCAATAAAGACAAGACGCAATAGCAGTTGGAGCCCTACTTTATGAACCTACTGTCTACCGGAATATGATGAAGTACGAACAGAGAAGGAATTTTATAAGCTGAATATAAGGCGAAAGTGTTGTATAAGGTGAGAGTGTGTCTCACCTTATACATGGGTTGGACGTTCCAACCTATGACCAACCTATAGCGCTGTGGGGCCACCAGCGTCATAGCAATAGCTGGCGCTGTGCTGCACAGCCACTAGCATCCAAGCGTCCAAGTGCAGTGAACACAGCCTTGGGTTCACTTCACTTGGACATTCCAACCTATGGTGCTGTGGGGCTGCCAGCATCATAGGGATAACTGGCAATGTGCTACACAGCCACTAGCATCCTAGCGAGCAATGAGGACACAGCCTTGGGTTCACTTCACTTGGACATTCCAACCTATGGTGCTGTGGGGCTGCCAGCATCATAGGGATAACTGGCAATGTGCTACACAGCCACTAGCATCCTAGCGAGCAATGAGGACACAGCCTTGGGTTCACTTCGCTTGGACATTTGCCGAACCCAGATTTCTGGCTAGGTGTGGTGAATGTTCAAGCAGACCGAACCCATACAGGTCTGGCTCCTCTATAGTTGAGTTGAGTGTTGCGGTAAGGAATTCAAGAGAAAAGTTCTGAAGGAGTGAGTCAGCTGGAGTAAAGAGAAGGCTGTGTGTTGAGTGAAGCTGTCTGTGTAAAATGTGGTTGGTATTAGAAGTTTGACCTGTGTTGTGCATGTATGATTGCCCAGCCACTGGAGGGACTGAAGGACACCAATAGAACTTGAGCGGTAAGACCAGAGGTGGATGAGTCCAGCATTGAGATCAGGATAGGCTGTAGTGTCACTTCAATGTTCTTTCCTTGACATAAAGCCAAACAAGGTACATTGTGTCTGGAGAACATGAGTATACAGAGATCTCTACACGGGGATCCCTGAGAATATAGAGCTTGCCTAAACTGAGCATAGAACTTTGCTGAACTGAGAGAACCATTTAAAGTGACCCATTCTTCCTCTCACTTTCCCATCTAACACTACCTGTGCATAGAGGATGTTGTATGGTCTTTATTGCTCCATCTCTCATGTCACAGCTGTGTAACAAACCCTAGATAGCAGCTGTGAAAACTCTGAGAAAGTTCATGTGGACACGAGGACTTCATCCCTCCCATCTCTCTTTTCCTGGTTGCCTAGCATTAGGTGAATTGAGGTCATGGTGCAAGCTCTCGGCACTAGTAGAGCTGTATGGAGATTGGGACTTACTGTTCCCCTGTCACAGGAAGTCGGCCTGACAGGTCTGATTCATTGAACACAACGCACACGTTATACATTATAGTGGCATCTATGTTGTTGTTGCTGATCAGGTAGGCTATGTCATTGCAGATGAGGATTTTGATTGCTGGTCATGACTCATTTGGGTATATTCTACTTTACATCCTGTCCCAATGATGGCAGGAAAAGAAATGATAGGGAACACAGACAATAAAAAAATAATTAGTAGGTTCTAACCCTTTCTGCTATGCCCCCCAAAAAATGATTAGAGTTGGATTTAAAGTCTAAAACCAAAAACAAAATGTTAGTATATTGCATCCTACACACACTTAGGTTTGTTGGCTGCATTGGTTTTCTTTTTTAAAGATTTTTTCCCCCTTCATTTTCACCTGGTGGTCCTGCCAGTATCCAAAGGTGACAACGCTCATTACTCTACTGTACCTATTAAAGAAGCAGGGTTGTCACCTTAGGACAGGAACTGTGTTTGGACTACAAAATGCCCCATTCCCGTAACCAGGGAGGCTGTTCTGAAGTCCACATAGGTGAACTTGATATGGCTGATAAGACTGCTTGAGAGAACACTGCACAGTTTAGAGAAAATTATGAGATCACTGGATTTGTTTGTAATGACCAACATGTATTTTGTTCTGCACTTATCACACAGATGTAACAAAACACTTTCAGTGGTGTATTCAAAAGACCAAAAGGGAGCAAATAAGAAGTGATTGTTATGGTTTACATACATGTTAGGGTAGACATGTAATCTGTGGAAAAATTTGGTTCGGTTTCAGATATTTCGTCGTTTCGGGATTCGGATCCTAAATTCAATTAGGTTCGGGTTTCAGATTCGGACGAAATCCGAATGTCGTTAGTTTCGGATGAGTTTACAAATATTTGTTGCGAGTGAAACTGAAAAGCATATACAGATATTAATACTAAAGCTGAATCTCCTAGAACCGAATGGCATTCGGGATCCTAATTTCTGAATTGTATTTGGGAGCTCCCAAATACTATTCGAGTCTAGGAGCTTCCTAGGAGCTTCAGCTTTAGTAATGTATATGTCTCCCAGACCCGAATGGCATTCAGGTTCCGAATTTCCGCATTGCATTCGGGAGCTCCCGAATCGCCGTGATTGGCTCAGCGCGGTATACTGTATGTAGCCGAAGCTACCGTACATACAGTATTACCGCATACTCGGCGTATAAGACGACCCCCGATTCTGGGGGGATGTTTTTAAGTATAAAAAGTCATCTTATATGCCGGCAAATACGGTACTGTATATGGCTCCCATGCTGCTGTAACGAAAATTTGTGTTCAGACCCATTCAGGTGCATTAAACCGAAAAACACATCTGATTGGCCAGAAAAGTCACATGTCCAATTCAGTTTAGTTTTTGAACAAAATTCGGACTGGATCCGAAATTCGGATTTCGGACATATTCGGATGCATTGGGATGCGGAAATGTCCGAATTTTGATTCGGAGCGAAAAGAATCTCACATGTCTATTTTAAGGTAAAATAATATGATTTAGGTATAATAAATGATTGAAATACAACAATAAATGTATATATGCTCTCACAAAAGACATGCTATAGTTTCCCCTTAAATATCTTTCCTCTAATATCCTGAAACATTTACCATATTTTTCGCTCCATAAGACGTACTTTTTTCCCCCAAAAGGAGGGGGAAAATGTGCCTGCCTCTTATGGAGGAATACCTATCGCCCGATGCCCGGGACATGCAGTTTCGGGCGCCGGGCGAGTAGTTTCTTTTTGTACATTCAGCCCTGCTCCTGACAAGCAGAGCTGAATGTACAGTGGGAGCCGCTGCTCGTTTAATACAAGGGTTCTAGTTAGATCCCTTGTATTAAATCGAGCGGCGGCGATCGTGTCCGCCCCCCGCTGTGGTTTTCGTCAAGGTCCCCCATAGGAGCTCACCATAGAGCCCCTTTAGCAGACGAAGAACATCGTTCTTCGGCTGCTCTGTGTGATTACTGAGACAGCGCCACCTGTCTCAGCGGTCACTAACTGCAGCTTCCTATCGTCCGGAGCATCTTATAGACCGCAAAATACGGTACATATTTATTCCGAAATATTCTGGGAACTTCTACCATATAAACTGTTGTGTTGTATTTTTTTCAGTGGCCATTTAATAACTGATTTTCTTATCCCAAATAACTGCGAAAATCTATAATCCGATATTCTTCTATTTCCCAAAAATTCTCTTCTTTTAATATGTTGAATCGGAAACAATAATAAACAAATCCTGCACTTTTAAAGCAAAGCATGAATTATTTTAATTTGTACAGTGGTTCGGAATTTACAGTTTTTGTGATGACTCGCTGATAGGCGAGACAAATTTCACCTCCTCGGGGCGAAATAGAGCTGATAAAAATAATTTAAATATTTGCTTTTGGCGATTTTCACCAAAGGGGTGGAATTTAAATACGGCAATGTGACTGAAATATTAATGAGCGCATTTGCATAAAATTGATTTCAATTACCGCGCAGAGAACTGGGGCTAAAGATGATGCAAATTACAAATGCAAATGATGGCACATGCAACGCAGATGTGAAGGACGCTATGGAGCAAGTGGAAATGAGCGTCATTTGTTTTATACTCCTCCCCTCCCCCATTTTCTTCATTTTTTCCTTTTTGTAAAGCACGTTAGTAGCACAAATTGAAATAAAATAAGTAATTGTAAACCGGGCCGGATTTACTTTGTCTGCTGCCCCAAGGCCAGGTTCCTCAATGCGCCCCCTACCCACCA